TTTCTGCATAATTGCTCTCAAGAGGCAAAGAGGTGATCTTCTTGATCCAGTGAGCTATTTACCTTGGAAACTTGGTGACTGATCAGACTGTGATCCAATTCTTAATTGTGTCTAGGAGAGTAATTCATTAATTCAGGCGCTTGTGTAACTCTTATTTCTTTAGTGCATATTGAAAAGTGGCCTATTTCTCTTACGCTCAGATGCCTGTACCTCACAAGCCTCAGCTCAGTCTGCAAAGGCATCACAGCGAACCTCTTCTTCCAAGTCACGGTGTCCTTTCGAGTCGGCACCGGCTCTTCTACAACATCATCGATGCCGACAAGTATTTGAGCTGCGTTTGCCGCGCCTGTCAAGAGCCGAGAGTGAAGTCAGTCTGTTCCTGTCCAGTCAATCCTTCCGTCTATCAAACGCATCGCTTTCTTCCGCGTTGGCACGGCAACACATGTCCGTCAGAACGACATCATGCAGCTGGCCATTCAACGTGTCTTGATGACTTTACAAATCATTGCAGTCTGCACAGGACAGGTTATCGTAGCCGCGTCGTCTGGCGTCACGGTTCCAAGCGTTTGACGAAGAAGACGGAGACTGCATTCGCAGGAGATCAAAGGTAACTTATCCACATGACACCATCTCAAAATGGGTAGCACTAAGAGTCTGGAAAGTCTACTTATAAAAACGAAATATAAATACTGTCGGTAAAGCTGTACTTAATCGAAAATCCCACCAAATCTGGCCTTCCGACAAATTCATATCTGCTTTGTGACTGACCGGCACTGGTGAAAGTGTGGCTTAATGGTTAATGTGCCGAAACCACACCCAGCACTGCCATAGTTCGAATCCTGGTGAGGGTGCAGCTCCTTCAAATATGAATGAGAGTAGCTTTGGGGAAAGCAAGATATAATGCAACTACCAGTCGCATAGACAGCCTAAATAAAATAGTGTGAGTACAGCTGATAATGTATGATCTAGACATAAAACGAAAAATAATGACTAAAATATGTTTGCACCTACGATTTTCTTCTATTTGCCTGATATATCATTTCAATCAAGAGTTATAGTCACTCTAGGTCGCATAATGTTATTGTTGATAGTTTGTGAAATTTTCGCACTATGCCATTCAACCTCAAATAGACTGGACGGACCCGACTTTTGATTGCCTTAATTCTTGTATCCAGATTACAAGGTTTCATAATGTGTTTGAAGTTTATTGAAATCGTCCAGGTCGAATGTATCTCATTTTCCTCCTTATCAAAGAGTGTAAATATTTGTATAAAAAATATAAAACTTAGCAATGTTATTAATTTTCCGGGCAAATAATCTCTTTTAAAAAGCTTGCTCCAACAATTCAAATCACGCATATAACTCTGGACCCTTTCAAATGGAATAACGGGCACGCCAAATACAAAACTTTTATTTTGGTATGTAGATAAATTGGGCTGCAGAGACGTCGAGAGAAAGGAAGGGATACATGAGATTAAAGCGAATTCTATTGTAGTATGGACCATAGGTTCCTGGACCACCTTACTGCGACTTCAAAGAATGCTTGTTGCGCTTTCTTACGTCGTGTGACGAAAATCTTCAGAGCCGGTTGGAAACCTGCCGGCTCTGCTTTCGCAAATTGGTCGTAGTTACATAGAGGCGCAGTTGAACATTCGTAGTCCTACAATAAATTTCCTTCTTTCCCACAATGGACGCAGAATTTCAATTTATCCAAGTGACAAGTGAAACGTTGTAATTCTGTGCTTACGAGATTGCCTCATCCAAATGGAATGCGAATATATCAAATGAATAGTCCATTTCTGGAAATAATGAAATGTATGACAGTGGATCAGGTACATTGCATAATTTCTGTAGACCATCTTGGTCTTTCTCCACTGGCATTTCGTGATTTGGTTGGATATCCTATGCTTTTCCTAAATGTTTCGTAAGTTGCTGTGGATGAATTGTCAACTTGACGGAGGTGAAGCGTGAAACGGAAGCAATTGTGACCGAACAGCTTCATCTTCTCGCATTGCAATGTTGCCGTATGTGATGATTGCTTTCCATTGAGCGTGTATTGTGGGCATGTGATGCTCGAGTCAAAACCAAGTTCGAGTCTAATCCATCCTCACTCAGCGATACCTCTTCTGCCCTACCATTAGCCATAAGTATTATCCACTTCATTCCTTACATTCATTCCACCATATCCAGATTTTTGCTGCTTTTCATTTCAATTAACTCTCCATTTAAGCGTTAGACCAATCTGTTTTGCTTACTTTCGTTTATATTGACAGTGTTTGGTAAAGAGATGCCAATCTTGATCCCTCTTCTTCTTGTCCAGCTTCTAATTGGCCTTACTGAAACATTCTTATTGACATTGTTTCCGAGATGATATCCTTCTTTTAGGATGAAAATGTGATACGATTTCGCTCGTATGATGGACATTATCGGTGCAAGTAGCATATCATCCTTGTAACTATATTCACGCTTAGTAAAGCTCGATTTGGTTAAAGATATGAAGACCAAAATGTGGCCTTCTTTAGATTTATAGAAGCGGGTCGCCCAGACAACAAGACCAAGTTGCCACGTGGTCAACCCACTTCTATTTGGTTAGTTCAAGTAAAACATGTGGGTTTCTGTCTATGTGCGTATAGTCTCGGAAATCTATTGAAAACGAAAAATATTAACGAAGATTTGTGTTCACATTTTTACCAAAACCATCAGTCATGAAGTAGAAAATACATCCTTGTAATAATTTTATACAAAAAATACCTGAGAGTCCTACTTATATATAAAATAAGTAGCATGGTTTCTTGCAATGACAAATATGTTATTTAAGATTACATCGGGTTGCCTGTTTATCGAATCTATCCTGTAAAGGTCCATATGGTGTGATGCATGTAATGGGGACCTTAGACGAAATAGGGTGATACATCTCATTACACTGTTTTACTGGTGGTCTGGAAACCCTACTGTCGATTGCTATAGCAAACATACGCTTGCTTCATCGGCAATGCGAGGTCGAAACTGCATTCCACTTCAGTCGGGATGGGAACAACTTTTGCAAAAGCAAGACATTCAATAGAAAACGTCAGCTCAACTCATATCATTGTGGGAAAATTCTACTACCAGTCCTTCATCACCTTAGACGAAATAGTATGAATACATCTGATATTACTGATTTACTGGTAGTCTCGAGACTCTACTCTAATAGGAAAATAATTTTGCATAGCTTTGCTTTGCCAAAATGAGACCACAACTTTTTGGGAAAGCAGGACAATGTCAACTTTGATAGAAACATCAGGTCTTGTCATAGCATGTTGGAAAAATGCAACTACCAATCTTCTTATTATCCTAAATGAAATAGGAGGAATGCATCTTAAATAAGTAATATCGCCCAAAGTAATGGTAAATGCATATTTCTTCGTCGACACGTTGAGCATAAATGTAATTATGGAGAAGCCTTGTATGCCGTGAAAGTTGCATTTACTTGTAGATACGAAGAGAAACTTGGTTTCTACGAATCTCCTGAGATAACATTGTTAGGCGGACTTTCATTTTAAATGAAAGTAAATGA